TACATCATGACAAATCTACAAGCTTAGAATTGCTATTATCATGGTTGAATCTTTTCACTAAGTGTTCATTTCTTTTCTCTCTTTTTTCTTCTAAATAAACGTTATTAAAATTCCGAACTTTGTAATTAAGACAACAACTTGTGTTGCATTTAAATTAACTTCTCAGACTAGTTTTTACCTTCACTATGCATATATGACTCATACATATCGATATTTGGTTATTCTTTGCTTCCAATTGAGACTTTCATAGCATCACTTCAAACTATGACTGCACAAACACTTAATCTAATCTCATATCTTACTGCAATAATAAGTTAGTTTTTCGTAATTATTTTCTACTTTATTTTTGTTACTAATTTAGCGATACAAACATAGTCGGTTATTGTTGTTCTGTGTTCATAAACACGCCTACTGAACTATTTGCGTATTTCACGTCTCCTTTATTTCTATTGCCTTATTTTCTCCATCTCGTTCCTTAAAGTCAATTCAATATTCTCAATTACTTATAACCTGATTTATTATTGTTCCATCATTATTATTACTTTTTATTCAAATATGGCAAATATGACCTACTTACTTACTTAGTTACTTACGTCTGTCACTCCCAATGAAGTATAGGCCGCCGACCAGCATTCTCCAACCCACTCTGTTCTGGGCTTTCTTTTCTAGTTCTATTAAATTCTTGTTCGTTTTTCATGTCTGTCTCCATTTCTCGGTGTAATATGTTCTTTAGTCTTCTCTCCTCCTTTGACCTTCAAGGTTTGCCTTGTGACACAGTTGGGTGCTTTCTCAATGTGTGTGTTCATCAATTATGCTGCTTAAATATGCAAAGGTTTTCACATCTTCCAAATCTTCTCCGTCAAGTGTGATTCGATTGTTGTACGCTGTGTTGTATCAGAGAATCTTGCCTTTCCTTTTGTGTATGTTGAGAACTACTGCTATTGAGGCTGCTGCTACACTGTTCGTCTTCTCCTGCATATGTTGTTGCGTGTGAGATAATAAAAATTTATTCTCAAATAACAGTTTGTTACAAGAGGTATGCCAGTTCACAGGCAAGATCTAATTGTTACAAATGATACAATATCCATTGTAGTAAATTACTCAGCTGGGTTGATAATTTTTAAGATATGAATGTAGATGGTTTTAGTCACTATCACAGTTGGCGCGCTTCATGAAAGTTGCGTTGCGAATGTGCAACTGATAGTCGGGGATAGGTCCATTGAAGGTGGGAGCTTCTAGAAATCGCAACCTTATGTCCCTTTGGAATATCTAAGACTTTAAGGATGGTGCAGGATGAAGTCACCTGTTCCATATCTCAGGGGGCTGAAAGAGGGAGCAAGTAAAACAAAGGACGAGAGGCAGTGCAGACAATGTTCATGAAAGAAAATTTAAGGTGTGGCTACTCAGTCTAACTTTCTTTTATTAGAGTATTTACTAAGCAAGATTGTTCTAATATGTTAAAGAAAATAAGTGTGAACAATGTATAAGTGAATAAACAGCTGACAAACGGAGGTGATTCAGAAAGGAGCTGAGAGTATTGGATTATGTGTGGTTATAAAATATAGTGCTAAAACCAGTATTGTGATATACAATTGGCTATCTCCCTTTTTTATCGAAGCTATTGGAGCTTTTTTTCATTTGTTTTGTGTTATTATTTTTTTTAGGTATCATAGGGTCTTGAGTAGGCTTCGTATACTAGCGAATTGTCTAGTTTGCTTGTGATAGGATTACTGGGTAGGAGGTGAAACCAATTCAACGTTCGTAACACGATTTAATGAGGTATTTTGCATGATAAATCAGCATTAATACCTTAAGTTCGTGACATCCCACGAAACTATAAGGAGCCGTAATTAAACAAAATGTTCTGCCCTACAGACGTGGGTTGATAGAAGTTATCCCCCCACCATCATGTTTGCTGGTCAGTAACGCCACCCTCCCTCCTTTTGTGATGTTAGGCTCTCCTACGTTTGAGGTAAGTATGAATACCGCTTTAATCAATGCCCATAGTTGGAATACACTATCTCTACTAGGTCCATGTTACAAGAAAATCAGATAGTTAAAAAGGTTGTTTTATGGGTTAGATGGGTTAGATAGAAGAGCCAGGTTATGTGCGAAGTCTAGATCGTCCAGCTGCATTCTAGCTGTCCACAGTATTCCATGCTTCCCCCCAGATGTTGACGTCATCATGATCCAGTCGATCTCCAGGAGAAAGAGAAGGGGTAAGAGAAAACAATCTTGTCTAACACTTGTCTTTACCTCGAACGAGTCTGTCAGTTGTCCTCCACTCACGATTTTGCAGTTGAATCCATCATAGGAATTCCGTATGATGTCGACTATCTTCTCAGGAACGCTGTAGTGTTGAGGAAGCTTCCACAGTTTTGTCCTGTTCACTCTATCAAATGCAAATATAATGCTCACATTATTGAAACTTGTATATTATTGCATTTTTGGCGAAATACGAAATGGTTTCTTCACAACACTTATGTACCCATAAGATGTTTGTGTATGATAATAAGTATATTTTTAGAGCGTTACTAATATCATAGTAGACCATAATTCTCCACATTCTATGCACGTTGCCTCGATATTGCTTCAAATCCGAAGAATTGTATTCAGTCTCTGTTTATGTCTAACAGGCTGTTTACGGAGTATTGACTGCTTTTTTCGTACTCGCAGCAGTATGAAAAAACAGATTTTTATTGCTGACGGGTGTAGGTGTTCGTAACAGTTTTATTTTTGCCTGTCTCCAGTTTCATGATGTAAATGTCAACAGTACGTTCTTGGAAATTCACTTTAGAATCTAGTCTCTCGTGTATCAAGTGACTTTGCCTGACAAGCTAGTAGTGCATCCAAATATTGTACCCTAGTACAGTCTCAATCATTTTATTTAAAGTTTAGCTTGTTTGGACACCTCTAAGCAATGGAGTTTTACGGTTATTCCAACATCCAAACAATACTTAATACTCACCTGTTCACCACATAGACACTATCACCGCATAAAATGTGCCTAAAGTATTTGCTCCATATATTTCATCAGTCCCTACATTTGGAAGCTAAATTTATGGAACTATCTTAAAAGCTATCAAAACGCATCAATCTGAAAGTGGCCATGTGTTTAGTATCCCATGAAATTTTAAAGTTAGTCCGAATACTAAATAGAGCATGACAAACCAGAAGTTGTGTATTGCATTCCTGAAAATTGGCTTATTATATTTAGACTTGCAAAACAATCTATGTAGTCTCTACAAGATATCGATTTTTCTAACTAAAAAGTTAATTGCTGTGGCACACTATTTCATGATATCTCTTGATTAGGCGTACAAACTTCTCTTCACTGCTGCGTAATGGACTAGATCTTCTACCATCAAACTTACAAGACTATTAATTAACCTCGTCTGAAAAGTCTCTTGCTGTTATTTTAAATGGTTATTAACAGTGATGAATTCACACCTTAAGAGAATAACTCGCAACTCAAAATTTAGCACTATGAACAATAATCTTGTTTCTATGCCGCTAATTACATTAGAATAACTGGTTTGCTAGTTGAAGCTTAATTGACGTCAACCACAGAATCATCGATGAAAATAAATTTTGCCATTTACTACATATCGATATATGATGATTATGACTTCCAAATTGACGTTTTCCTCGTACACAAATCATTGCGAAATGTGTTGAAATTCCTCAAATAAAGTTCGCATTGGGTAATTATGTTCATAAATACGAAATGTTGATCAAAATGGTATGTATGTATTGACGTTTATAGCAACTACATGTTTCTATTTATGAAATTGACGTTAAATATGGACTTAAAACCATTTCACTCACTGAAGCACACAAATCCTGAGTGAATTGTGCATCCTCGGGCTTCAGTAAATTTAAAATTCAATTAATTGAGTGACAAACACGAAATCACTTATATACGACTCAGCGTCGATTACCAAGCATCCGCTTCATATCATAATGATGTTTGGTAGTAATGTATGTTTATCGTGATTAATGGTAGTAAAAGCACAATCATCTTCATCCGAGACCATATGTCGTCCGTTCATGTCGTCATTATTCTGAGTATTACATCGACGACGAAGCAGTATTTCATGTCACATATTGATAAGTTAGATTACTAGAGTGGATGCAGTTCAAAATTAACCATCTTCAAAACTTCAAAAGCTGTTAATTTCCACACAAAACTAAATCTTTGCCGTCACTCATCATAAAATCATCTTGTTGATGCTGTCACTCTTCCTTTTCGTCGAGTAACTTGCAGTCGAGAGGGTTTTAACTGGAGATTTGACTGACAAAAACGGAGTTCTGCTGTACAAATTAACGTAACTGCTTGTTTCTAACGTTCTGGAAGATGCCGCAGTAACACCTAAAATCCACCGAAACACTGAGAAGTAACTTGTGATTGATGTCGGATTTTCAGATGATAGCTTAAGGAGGAGATTTAACAAGTACGTATTCGACCACGGATAACTATCTGCTAGGACTAGCTGTTCCTGATGCATGTCTCGTTACCCATCTACTATCATCAGTATCACATGCCTTCAGCTTATTCGTATCTTGCTCCTGATAACCTTGTATCTCCTTTCTTCCTTCATCGGTCTGTTCGCACAGAATAAATTACTAATTAGTTAATTATTTTAATTCCAACAACCACCATTTCTTAACTCCTCTGCAGTCAAATTACTTTTTTACTGTTCTCATAGTGCAACCAACCGACCTTTTGCCCTAAAATGTGAAAGATGTCGTTTTCCAGAAAATATACTACCCTGGGACAGTCGTATACACTTGGATTAAAAGATAAACAAACTCTCAAACTGATTAAAACTAGTGAAGTCGAGCGACTATTATACCTCTTATTGGACATCTCCATAGGCCTGATGGCATACTGAAACAACAAGAAACGAGAGCAAAGAAGTCAATCAAATTACACAGCATATCAGGTATTGGATATTGAAGACTAGGTACCACAGCAACGGTCACCGTAGTAATTTCGAATGGATAACCACTTGGGCCCACCGACTTATAACTACTTTACCAAAGAAAAGCCACAAACAACAAATCAGCAGTATGGCTTTTTCTATCGAGAAGAGCAATTTGGTGACGTTGATACCCTTCAAAACAAGGCTGCTTGTAATGAAATGGTGACGTCTTCGCATTCACTTAAGCACCACCCGAAATTTCGATCATCAAAACTCAGACCACCATTACCTAGAAAGATAACATACCATACTGCATCACTATTAGCAAAGCACAAAAAGGAATGTGAAGTTGGTGGCGGAAGAAAGTACCCAGATACGCGTTTAACTCGAGTCAAAGGTATTCAACTATGGCATGCCCATACAGGATCATTAGTTCACGTTGAACCTTAAAGTTTTTGACTAAGAAGCCACTTCATTTTCGGGAACCAGAACAATATTTTTATTTTATTTTAAGAAATATTTATGCTTAATAAATATTTATAGATCATTAATATTATATGATCGTATTTTAATAAAGGTAGCTATGTTAAATTAAGCTTTAAAAAAACTTAAAAATTTTCCTCAAGTTTTATGGTGATCTGCTGCGGAGGACGTCCTGAAAATATGTAGGACAGCATGTTTTTATAGAAAAATGCACGTCTCTTTTGTACAATCAATAATGTGCCATATAAAGTAAAGCATTACTGAGTTTAAAAGTCATAGTAAGCTCTGACGCCGTGAGAGAGGATTTCAATAAATTCAGTCTAATCCTGTTAAGTGTATGGAACTCACGTAAGCCGAATATATTTATCATTATGATAAAAATAGATGACATTAGTTGAGAATTCGCGAGTGACGAATCTTACCATACCTCCATAACTAAAACTGAAACTAGACCAACTTATCTTACGAATGACTTATGCAGTCCCCCTCGATAAGATTTTTCTTAATAGCCTTTTAGCAAATATGGAGCATGTTTAGATGAGATCTTATAATTAAGACTGACGAATAAATTATATAAAATACAGTTACTTGGATATGATGGGCAATGCTCCTAAAAATAGAGGGAACATTAATATCTCTGACATCAGACTTAGAGTTTACCCGTTGACAGGTAAATGTCTAGCATATACGTATTTTATCACTAGGGCAGTGGAGGAAATTAGATAAAACTTTCGTAAGATTAGTAGTGGCGTGGTACTCAGGCTGGCAATAACCTGCAAAAAGAAAAAGCGTGCGCTCATCATAAACTTTAAAATGAAGACAGAAAGCTGACTGTTCCATTGATAATTACTCCAGTTTGTAATTCCGTAAAGATCCCTTTATTTAAGGGGGCTTGATAAGAATAGTATCACATTTTCCCTCCGAAGTTTTAACGATAGAAAAATTGGCAAGGCAAGTGAAACCTCATCGTGTTTGTTCGTTCATATCTATGGCAATTTTTGTATGAAATTTGGAGACTACGGCTCTAAAAAGTAGCACAGTTCAAAAATATATATGATTAGAAGTATCTACTCATTTTGTAGAGTGTTGATGTAAGATTATTTGTAACTCCATGGTTCAATAAGAAAGATAGGATGTAATGGTATCTCGTCAAAAGTATATAATAACCCAATTTCTAGCTAGGTACTCATTTCTTTGATTAAGCTAGTGGGTGTCAATACTTTTCTAATGCTGGCTTAACAGTGTGTATTACCGTACCAGAGTGAGTAACTTAAATAACTATATTTATTTAGTAATTCTAGCGATAATAACCGTTTTCAGTTGGATGGAGTAAATGCTTTCAAGTTGATAAGGTATAGCACTGTAATCTTACCGTACAGTAAGTAAATAAATAGAGATTTACTACTTAGCCTCAAAATGTGTTTACTACCTAATTTAATATATTTACTCCTGGCTTACAGGATCTAATTTGTGTTCGTGAGTGAATCTTAATTCACTTGGAGGCAGTGTAGCTACTGAGATCAGAAGTAGTAATATCAGTAGATAGTTAATTAACTGATCGAAGATGAATTCAGAATGATTAAATCGGCAGAAGTCTGAATACTAAGTCGTTTTGAAAAGGTATGGTTACTTTTCTTTGCAACCTTTACAATAGGATATCAAATTTCTAAATATGTTGACCTTACAGAGGTATGGACTGCTACAAATGTTTACACTTCTTAGGCAAATTAAAATTGAAAAATTGCAAAAAAGTAAACTTATTCAACATACTTCTCCATAGTTATGACTACTAAACCTCATGTTTCAAGCATAGGAGCCACTAAAATTAATTTATCTAATCAACCAAAAACGCTTTAAGAGTTAAAGCATAAGTTGAGGGCCAGATAAAGCAAGTTTAAAATGTTTATATCCATGTAGAAGTTCTCAATAACTGAAATTAATCAGGTGTGTTTTGTCGCTCACTAAATTAATCACATATATGTCGATAGTTTAAAATTTCATTTTTACGGGTGAGTGAGTTTAGATGAATTTACATGTAAACTTATATATATCAATTAGGACCGCACAGTTATTTGAAAGGTATTTAGAACTTTCCATGAAGTTAATCATTTGTCGTTTTGCATTCCAATGACCATAAATACACGTTCAGTAGATAAATCTAAAATTTTAGTTAAGTTGGAATAGCATGGTATTTGATACAGGGTATATTAAGTGAAAAGTATCGTGAAATCATTTTGGAGTACGACATCCAACCGAGTATGTAACTGTCGAATACATTGATTCAATTATTTCAGCGAACATGCGTTCAAATGTGTGAATATTTCAAATGCCTTACAAATGAATCACTTCAATATTCTATCAATCAATTATCCATTCATCTATCTATTTATCTCATTTCCTTATTTCAGTGCAATGCTGATCATACAATTCTAAAGCAATTTTGAATTTATTTCACTACAATTGCTAGGTATTCGATTACCAATGTCGATATAAATCTAATGCAATTATAAACGGGTCTTATTCTGGTTTTAATCCAATACTATTATTATTATAGTCCACTTATATCCATGCAGTACAATCATGGTTTAATTATTTTTTTACTTTTACATATGCTAGTGAATCTAATTACCGGAATAGAATTTAGTGATATTTGTATTCTCGTCCTTACTTAATTGATCTCTCCTCGATCATCAATTATAAAGATAACAACTAAAAACGTAATCTGCACAAATAAGAAAGCAACAGAATATTATAGCGAATATACTGACATCCATGTTTTGAAGAGCCTAACCACTCATATAATACATCTTAAAGATATAACATTTTTCGCTAATGTATACTAATGAAATTAGGTTTCTTTAACTGTTGTTTTGAGACTGCTTCTCTAGTTACAACATCATATAAACTGTTTTGGTAAAAGAAAGGTTATCATGAAATGTGTTTTTGGGGAGAAATATTATAATATAAACCAGTTTTAACATAAGATACCGTCCGGAAAGCATGCAAATGTTCCAACCAACTAGAGAATACAATGTAATCAATTTACATCTCACAGATTTTTTACACAACTTGATTTAAGTTGACAAACAGATCTAATGGAATTCTTTAGATAAATTACACTATGTTAGTGAAAAGAAAACACTATAGAGTTAAATTATGCTAGTATTTCAGTAAAATACAATCCTAAAAATTAATTCATACGAGTTATGGTCTGAAGATTAAGTTTTATGCCAATTGTTTGCTTTTATAAATAAAACTAGCATATTTAAAGTCGTCTTCATATATAAGTCGTTATTATGTGTAATCCTTCTTAATTGATTCAGAAGGTATTACTGAAATAATTGGATACCTGTGAGATGTTTGATTATTCATTCCAAGTCTATGGAGCTATTTTACTCTAAAACGGTACAGTTACATTTTTTATCGCCATACAAATTCTTTTTCTAATTTATGTTTTGTTGTGAATATTTTTATGTTTGAAAGTTTACAACATCATACGTGGTTTTGGCTTACCTTAGTGGTTTGTTTTCACGTTTCTACTTTCTTTCAATTCAATAAAACTGATTATTAAGGACAGATATGTATATTCGATAGATGTTTCCTATATTTCTGTTGAATATGCCTGATTAAATACAATTACTCCGTTGTCTGCACAGTGTTTTATTATTAAGCATCCATTATGAAAATCCTACATACACAGGAATGGAATGCTCCTTTGTATCTTTCATAGAGTCCTTAAGAAAACCGCTAATTTACAAAATGTTGTGACGGGCAGTGTCTGAAACCCAGTAATGAAACACGTATGCTACGCGGTAACCCCCCCGGCTGAATACTTGAACAACAGCACAAGGGTGAGTGAGGTGTATTGGACTACAGAATAAAATTTTCTAATAATCATTCATATATGTACCCCTGTAATCCTTAGGAAATTGACCCATTTCTTAGCCAGTGAAATGTACTTGTCCTTTAGGTGACTTGTGATTGCCATCGATTGACCTTCTCATTAGACCATTGCTGTTTGGCTCTCCATATCACAAAATCTTTTATGAAACAAACAAGTGACAAATACTTTTGATTGTAAACCTCAAGACCTCTAACGCTAACACTGCTAAACAAAATAAAATCTCAATATCTGGGGAATTCTTTTGATAAGTATTACATATTTATCAATGATTTTCGTACTAATGATAATCCAAACCAAATGAATGTCGAAATCAATCATCAAAAGGTGTTTGATGAAAAATTCTATTTTGTGATTGATTTGAAGTTGGTAAAGCTAAGGCATTCGAATAGTCAATAAAGTCTGTGATGAGTATAGAAAAATCTTTCGTCACAATTAAAGCGAATCGAAATATGAACGAAGAATATTCTTCTCAATAATTTCTTATTGGGTTCTACAATTATCTCATATCCAAATTAATTAACCATAACATTGGCCAGATTTAAGGCAAAGTACATCATCTAAAATCATAACATGTGAATCGAGGATTGTTGCTTGTTACATCAAATCAAATCAAATCGTCAATGTTGGGGTTGACTAATATGATGTGTTAACTTGAATCAGTTTATAAGTGAAATGAAATTGTGAGGTAAATGATCAACATGGGGCGAGAGAGAGAGAATAATGTAATTACAAATCAGAAATTATGTAATATGTAGAATAATATAAATAAAGTCAGATATAGTAATAACTAGTTTGCATATGTATAAATCCAATAATAATTAAATATAGATAATCCTTAAAGTGAATTTTCCATTTGCTTATGTTTATCAATACCAACTTGGACTTTGATCACTTAGAAATATTTTAATATAAGTGGTTGAATGTGTAGTGAACAAGAACACTAGTGGGGACAATCGAATGTATTTGATGTGAAATTACAGTGCATCTCACTAAAATCTGAGAACCATATATTTCAACCTGTGAAAATGTCTAAAACTCTCCACAAAACCCATTCTGATGTATT